GAGAGAAAATACATTGCATTTTATTTACATTTTGTTTGGTGTGTGTGTTTGTGTGTGTGTGTGTGTGTGTGTGTGTGTGTGTGTTTGGCATGTACCCCAGAGCACATGCAGGGGTCAGAGAACAGAGCATGTGTGGGAGTCAGAGGACAACTCTGTGGAGTCAGTTCTCTCCCCTGGCCTTCATGTATGTTCTAGGGGTTGAACTCAGGTTGCCAGGCTTGTATTACCTGGCAGCAAGCACCTTTACTCGCTGAGCTGTCTTGCAGACTGGGATTCCAATATTTTGCTAGTAGTAATAGCTATGAGTAATACACATGAGGCCCTGGGTTCAACCTCAAGCATCACAAAAAAAAAGACAAGAAATGAACAAATGAGAAATAAGAAAGGAACTTGGCGGGCTGGAGAGATGCCTTTGCATTTAAGAGCATTGGCTCCTCTTGTAGAGGACCCGGGTTCAATTCTCAACCTAAATGGTAGCTAACAATCGCCCATAGCTCCAGTTCCTGGGGAATCTAATACCCTCTTCTGACCTCCAAAGGCACTGCATGATACAGGTGCACTTACATACATGCAGGCAATACACTCATACACATAAAATAAATAAAATATAAAAATAGCCAACCAAGCTGGGCGTGGTGGTGCACGCCTTTAATCCCAGCACTTGGGATGCAGAGGCAGGTGGATCTTTGTGAGTTCGAGGCCAACCTGGTCTACATAGTGAGTTCCAGGCCAGCCTGGTCTACATAGTGAGTTCCAGGCCAGCTGGTGCTACAGAGACCCTGTTTCAAAAAAAGACACACACACACACAAAAAGCCAACCAGTAAAACCAGAGAAAAAGTCTGAGCTGGTGATACCAATAAAGGACACAGCTTGGAAGGAGAGAGAGAAAGGCTGGGCAAGCAACTGGAGGCCAAGATTCCACCCCTGACTCTGGGTTCTCACCACTGGAGGAGAGCGAGTCTTTGAACATCTCGTAGAACTGTGTGAGGTACATCACCATGGACAGCTTGTCAGGCTCCCCTACCGATGCCATCTCCTTGCCTGTCATGATGGGAGAGATGCCCAGTTCCTTCTCGGCTATGTCAAAGGCCAGCTGGTTATTCTTCTCCACATTTTGCTCATCCAAAGAGTCAAAGTCTCTGAGAAGCAGGACAAAACAACCAGATTAAGTTGGGCTGACTGTCCTCAAACCGGAACATGGACAGCATCATAGCTGAGGTCAAGGGAGCCAGGCCTCAGGCGTGGACTGAAGAACAGATCTGCTTGTCTTCCCCTCCTCTATTCTTCCTCCCTGACTGAGGAAATACACAGTGCCCTTGAGGGGAATGGCCAGAGATCTACCCAGCAAAGAAAGGGGAGAAGACTATTTGCATTCTTCTAGGAACATCAATCTCTGCTAAAATGGAAGTTTAGTATGGGAGCTATCTTAATATGTGTTCTCCTACACCTGTGTGTCCATGTAACACATATAAAGCCAATGTCCAAAAGCGACGGAAATCCTGTCTGAGTAGAGGGCTCCCAAAACCCTGGGACTATCACCCATTCCACCAGCTCTGGTAAATTTTACTCAGCTTTCTCCTGAAGGGAAATTCCAAAACCTTTCTTAAAAGGTTTTTCCATTGTCAAATTTCCTGAGTTTTCCCAACTATCTCCATTAGCAAACATTTCCCCCTGGGTTTTAAGCTTCTTGCTCACTTGGAGGAAGGGATGCTGGCCTCCTCCCTCAGCTGACTGCATATCATCCTGGCGGCCCTTATTGTGTGTTACCCTACTGACCCGATGGAATTTTTTCCATTTAAAATGAATAACTTTTCTCTTAGATTAAACCTATTAAACTATGGATATTTACCTTGAATATAGTCCAAACAGTGCCGAGTAATCCACTCACTGCTTTCCATTTGCTGAACCTCTCTTAGACCTTCTTTAGGACATGTGTGGTGGTGTAAGAGGAGGGCGACCCTCTACCCTCCCTCACTGCCCCCCCCCGCCCCCAGCTCCACCCTTGCCAGTTGCCTCAAGTCTTCTCCCTTTTCTTCCCTGCCTTCCCTGAGACAGACCCACCATCCTCAGAAGCACCGTCACGCCCCTCAGCATACTCTCTTCCAAGCCGGTATCCCTGCTCACCTCTCTTCTTCCGTGGCACTGCTTTAATTTATTTTAGCCAAGCATATCATTAATCTCCCCCTTCTTTTAATTTTGGCTAGGAATTGAACTTAAAGCCTAGTGTATGCTAGGCATGCCCCACCCGCCCCTCCCTATTTAATTTTTTATTTATCTATTTATTCTTTTTGTTTTGTTTGTGGGGTCTACCTGCAGTCCCTTTAGCAGACAGTTTCATGTACGAAACTCATGATTCTCCTGCCCAAGTTCTGGAATCACAGGGATGCCTGGTTATAATTGTTTTGTTTTATGGTATTGCGATCAAACCTATGGCCTTGAACATGGTCCTTGGTTTATTTATTTAGGTCTTTTTATTTTATTTTTTAGGTCTTTTGAGATAGGGTCTCCCTGCAGCCCCAGCTGGCCCAGAACTCACTATGTAGACCAGGCTGGCCTTGAACTCACAGAGGTCCACCTGTCTCTGCCTCCCAAGTGCTGGGACTACAGGTGTGTACCACCACACCCAGCCTATTTATTTATTTTTAAATGTTAATTAAAAAAATTTTATGTGTATGAATGTTTTGCCTGCATACATGTGTCATGCAATGCCCATGGAGGCCATAAGAGGGTGTTGGAGCCCCTGGAACTACAGTTACTGATGGTTGTTAGTAGCCATGTGGGTGCTAGGAATTGAACCCAGGTCCTCTGGAACAGCAGTTAAAGCTCTGAACCACTGAGCCATCTCTCCAGCCCCCCCAACCCTCATTTTTAATCTACATTGCACAAGGTTGTTTTTACCAGCTCTTACATCATTAGTTTGTTATCATCACGAAAATAAGGACTGTGTCTTAGGATTCCCTAACCAGTCATTAAAACCAAAAGCAAAAAAGTGGGCCCTTGAGTGGACTCAATGATAAAAAAGGACGCAGCCAAAATAATCCACCATACTGTGCTTCTGTCTCTGAATCTGTTTGGCTTCTATGGTAACAATGGCCTACGGGGGAAATCTGAGTTGCTTGGTCGAGCAGCTGACCTGGGGTCACTTCGTACACTCCTTCTGTAGAGAGGTGAGTGAAGAACGTACAGAGGAGACAGCACTGGTACCCTGCGGAAAATGATGCTTGCTTCATGAAGCCTGAGGAGTATGTTTGCAAAAAACATATGTTTATAGTCTTTAACAAAGAAAATGCCATCATAAATGGCCTATCTATTGTTTTCTGTTGAGTTAGCCAAGTGTTCTAGCCAGGTCCCTAGTGGCCATTAGCACTTGAGAGAGAGCTGGCCAAAATGAAGAGTTCAACTGGGGGCCAATGAACAGAGTTTTCCTTTGTGTGAGGCTAACAGGCCCAGGTGGATGTCAGAACCAGTTTTTTGCTTTCTGAATATTGTGATTTTTAAAGTTAACTTTTCTTGGGTTGAGCTGTATAAATGCTTGACACATGGAGTTTTAAATATAACTAAATCAAAATGCTGGAATTCTGGAGAGAGCATCTTACATTCTAGGAAACTGTACAAAATCTGCATACTTGATAGGCACTCCCAAGATCCTTGGTGGATATAAAATGAAACACAAAACTTGGTCACGACTTACATGAGATCGGGGCGGTATCGGTGGATGATTGCACACAGGGCCAGGCCACTTTTCCATGACATGGTGAGATCTGTGACATTCACTCCTGCATAGCCATCTGTCTGCCTTTGGCACCACCCCAGGAGTTTGCTTGAACGAGCTACAGACTCTGAAACAATACAGATAATTATTGAAGTGTGCTACCTAGTAACACTGACACAGCACCGTCTTTATAGTACACACACTCAGTTTTGAAAAGATTACCGAGGGTAGGAACAAAATGGTCAGTATCCCCTTCAAAAGGAAGCAGTGGGGCAGATCATGGGTACCATGACACCATAACTTTAGGTACCAACCTACCAATTTCCAGGGTCAATGCCCATTCCCCAGACAAGATACCTTAGGTGACAAGGACACTAAAGCATGTCACAGCAGCACTCCTGGAGATGTGGATGGCAAAGTGCCACCTACTGAGCTGATACCTCACTGGCAACACAGCCAGGCTCTCCCTGGAGAGTTGCCTGGCAACTGACTGAGGAAGCCTTTTCCTCCCCAGCGACACCCAGGAGATTAGATTAGAAAGGGTTTCATTCTATCTGTAGTGCCTTAACCCAAAGCAAACAAAACCTTACTCTCTCACTTTCTAAGGCCCTGAACAAATACCAAGTGAAGAGACTTTGTAGGGTGACGCTGACAAGGCCAAACACCCAGACCAGAACAGTCCCCGATACCCAGGTTGGCACTTTGTGTTATAAATGATCAATTATATGCAGAGACACTAACAAGGCCAAGTACCCAGATCAGAACAATCCCTTAGACCCAGGTTGGCAACCTGTGTTATAAATGATCAATCAGATACTGACAGATACTGACAAGGCACGTGCGCGCGCACACACACACACACACACACACACACACACACACACGTTTTCTGGCTCACTGACATGTCTTCATCATGAAGAGCTCCAATAATCATTTAAGAGAGCCTGTGAGCACTGATCCTGGGTTCAAAATAATCTGTTCCCTTTCCTAAGGCTGCTGGCATTTAGCTTTGCACTAAGTCATTTGGTGATTCATGAAAATAAGATAAAAACTGTTTATCATAAAAATCCTGCAAAGTGAGGCTGGAGAGAGAGCACAGAGGTTAAGAACACTGACTGTTCTTGCAGAAGACCCAGATTCGAATCCCAGCACCCACATGGCAGCTAACAGCTGTCTGTAATTCCAGTTCCAGGGAATCTGACAGTCTCTTCTGTCCTCCTGAAAGCAAGCCCAATAAACTCATTGGTTGATAAAAGCACACTTGGGCAGAATCGTTACTTTGGTCTACAGTGGTTCCCTGTTTGGCATGAGCAGACATTGGTTTACATTTCCACAGGAAAAGTTCACGAAACAGTAATTTACTTTTATGCTGTCATACCACCTTAGACCAAAATAATTTTTGTGTTTGAGGGCCTGTTTCGCACATTCTAGGAGGTTACAGCAGCAACAACCTTGGCTTCTATCCTCTAGATGCCAGTAGCAAAACCTCACCTACAGTCATGACAACCAAAGATATACCCTGGTACAAGCTAATACCCCAGAAGGCCCACTGGCTGCAGCCCACTGTGGCTGAGGGATGGCTCAACGGATGACTGTGGACTTCTCTGAACAGGTAAGGCCATCATCAGAACTCACCATTGCGGGTCAACTTGGGGGTGGTTCGGAAATTCACTAGGTTCTCCATTTCCAGATGAATGTCTTTTGTTTCTCCGCTATCATACAAATGGCGCACCTGGCAGAAAGTTGAAAGAGTAAAAGGAAAATCAAACCCTAAATAACATTTCCACCTAAATGAAGAATAACTAAAATAAAGATTATAAGAGCAGGTTGGGTAAAGCTTATATATTTGTGTTTACTTTCTGGTGGTGCTGGGTATTGAAGTCAGAGTCTTGCATGGCTAAGGAGAGCTACACTTTAGCCTCACGGTAAAGTTTAGACAGACTACATGATGGCCTTAGACCTTTCATGGAATGAGATAGTTACAAAGAGACAAATAACTTATTGACTGTCAGCAGCTGTACTGAAGATGGCCAGGTGGGCACGGAGGTTCCTCTGGACCATGGCTTCCCACCATCAGCATCTTTATGGATATTTCCCACATACATACAAAAGCCTGCAGACTTCAGGTAGATGGCAAAAAAAAAAAAAAAAACATTCTTTATAACATAGGCAAACCTGTCAAAGAGGCTGCTTCCTAAAAACTGCTCGACTGGAGCTGTCATGCTTGGTACTGTCACCATCGACAGAAACTTTACAGATTCTGAAAACCTCACTAGTCCAAAACTAGACTAACACTAGTAACAAAACCTTTTACTTGTTTCAGAGCCTTTTCAAGAGAATAACCTCGTTTGCCCTACAATGATCCTGTGAGTAGGCAGGGATTATTAGCTCCACTTCTCAGGTGAAAAACCGAGGTTCAGAGAAAGGAAAATAACCTGCCTCAGTCACAGGTGATGAGTGCTAATACTGTAAGTGGAAGTCACACTCCCAACTGCTGAACCAGTGCCCTTTCTGTGCGAAGTTCCCATTAGGAGGTGAGGGCTAAGTCTTAAGTCTACTGTTTTTGTCACTTTTTTTTTCCCGTCTTTTTGGAGACAGGGTTTCCCTATAGCCCCAGCTGGCCTAATTCCCTATCTAGACCATGCTGGCCTAGATTTCATAGAGATCTACCTGCCTTTGCTTTCAGGGTGCTGGGACTGAAGGCATGTGCCACTACACCTGGGACTGTTTTTGTTACTTTTGATCTTCCACAGTCATTTTAAAGAGCTGGCTCAGCAGTTAAGAGCACTGGCTGCTCTTGCAAAGGACCTGGGTTCAGTTCCCAGCACCCATATGTAGGCCAACAACTGTTTATAACTTCAGTTCCAGGAGATTTGATGCCCTCTCCTGGTCTCCCCGGGCATTGTACACATGGGTGCAGGCAAAACACCCATACACATTAAAAAAAAAAAATCCTTGGCTGGGAGTGGTGGTACACCCCTTTAATCCCAGCATTCGGGAGGCAGAGGCAGGCAGATCTCTGTGAATTCAAGGCCAGCCTTATCCACAGAGTGAGTTCCAGGCTAGCTGGGGCTACAGGGAGACTGTCTCAAAATAAACAAACTCTATTCCCAGTCAGCTATGGTGGCTGAGGCTTATCCTGGGCTATACAGTGAGTTCAAGGTGAGCTTCGGTTATATAGCATATTGAAGTCGTCCCTCAAAGTCTTTAAGAAAAAGAAAAAGAAAAGGAGGGAGAGAGGGAAGGAGGGAGGGAATGATGAAAAGAAGAGAGGAAAGGATGGATGGAAGGAAGGAAAGAAGGAAGGGAGGGAGGAAGGGGGGAGGACCCTTTGTGCTATGTTCATGGAAAACACTTTCAACAACTCAGAGACATTGATATTGACTCGGATTAGTTGTGTGTGTAGTATAATACAAACACAGATATACACATTCCAACAGTTACATCAGTCTGGAACACTGGCCTGGATGTAACTGAGAAGACTTACCTGGCTTGGCCGGAGGAAGTTGATGTTAATATTGGGATACCTAGTAACAGGGTCGATACTATATTGGCTGAAGTTTTTGCTCACATTCTCAGGGGTGGTTTGAGGCAGCAACCTGTAAATGCTCTCCCTGCAAAAACACGAAACAGTGTGTTCAGAGCAGCAACAAGCACCAAATTACCTGACAAGTAAAACCAATCTCCATCCCTGGTGCATCTCCAAACATAACTTGGCTCTAGTCTTCAGACCCACCACTCTGATTCCATGGGCTCTGGACCAGGGAAGGGGCCAAAGACAAGAGCAGGGACACTGCTATGGGCAGTGGTAAATGCCTCTAATTTAAAAGGCTGTTGTGGAGATGGAGAAATAGCTCAGTAGTTAAGAGCATTGGCTGCTCTTGCAGAGGACCCAGGTTTGGGTCCTAGCACCCACATGGTGGCTCACAACCATCCAGGGGATTCAACACGGACTTCTGGCCTCCACGGGCACCAGGTGCACATGTGGTACATATATATGCATGTAGGCAAAAAACTCATATAAGCCGGGTGTTGGGGTGCATGCCTTTAATCCCAGCACTCGGGAGGCAGAGGCAGGTGGATCTCTGTGATCCACCTGAGTTCAAGGCCAGCCTGGTCTACATAGTGAGTTCCAGGACAGCTTGGGCTACAGGGAGCCCTTGTCTCAAAAAGAGCCAAAAAAGAAAAAGAAACTCATATAAATTAAAAAAAGACAAAAGCCTGTTGTATAGTGTGCAAATATTTACTATAATTTTTAAGGAAAGCGGTCACCTTTGCTGACTCTTTCCCTTAATAGCAGAATGTTTATAATCTAAATTATGAAGGATACTTCCAAAAGACATTCTGTGAGCATAACACATCTCTTTGCTTATTCCTCACTAAGCCTGTCAGAGCTACGGTTTCCTCCCCAAACTTTACATTTTGGGAGCCTGGTCCCCAATATGGTGGTGTTGAGGTGGTGGGACCTATAAAAAGGTGGTAGCTCACACCTGTAATTCTAGCACTTGGGAAACTCGGGCAGAAGAATCATCTCAAGTTGAAGGCTAGCCAGGATTACACAGTGAGTTCTAAGCCAGCCTGGGCTACAGAATGAGACCATATCCCAAAAAAACAAAATAACAAAACAAAAGCAAACCTTGCCACCCCATTTAACTACAATGTCTTAAGTCAAAGTCTTAAAATGACAGGATAATATCAATTATCAGTTCCACCCAGAAATCTTTCACTATTTCTCCTGGTCAAGGCATACATTCTTCATCAGCAGGTAAATCCTGGTGTTTCTGCCTCACATAAATCCACTTGCCTCTGCCACCCGAGTGCTGGAATTAAAGGCATTCTGCCTCATTTATAATCATTTGCTTCAAAACATCTGACATTCAGGGGTTCAGTAAACATTTACAAGCAGTTGTGTTTCCTTTTGACTTAGTCACTCTCATTTTATTCTACTATGTCCCTATCGCCACACTGGCTTACAGTTAACAGGTACCACAATGTGCTGCATTCATGTAATTGCTGGCCAATGGTACACAGAGATGCAGAGCCCATCTTCCAACAATAAATTTGTTTTGGGACGGGTTAAGAAAATCTTCCCTCTTTCAGCCAATCGGTTGGCCATAGCTGCTTGCATGGGAGGGGTTAAAAATTAAAAATTAAAAAGAAAAAAAAAGTTTGAGGGGCTGGAGAGATGGCTCAGAGGTCAAGAGCACTGGCTGTTCTTGCAGAGGACCTGGGTTCCGTTCCCAGCACCCACATGTCAGTCAACAACTGTCTGTAACGCCAGTTTCAGGGGGTCCAAAGCCCTTTTCTGATTTCCGTGGGCATTGCCTGGCACAGGTGCACTCACATACATGCAGACAATACAGTCAAACACATAAAATAAAAATAATAAATTAAGCATTTAAAGAACAGTTTGAATAGATCATCTTGGTTTCTATGACTTTATAAAACAGTACCTTGCCTTCCCTCTACTTAAACATGAAAACATCTTTAATATAGAAATAAAAGAACAAGAGGGAGGAAGAGCTTGCACTCGGCCGAGATATAAGCCAGGGCTACTCCCCAGTCTTCCTAGAAGACGGACCCAGGGTTTTTTCCATTACCTCTCTGCCAGGACCTCCAAGGGGCTGGTGCCCAGTGACCAGCTTCGTACCATCCAGGCAGAGTCCATAGCAGCTAGAAAGCCTCGGGCAATTCCTGTTCCCATTGGCCAGAAAGGCTGTAAAGGAGATAACACAGAGAGTTAAAGTAACTCAGCTTGTAAAAGAGAAAAATAAACCATGGAGCAGAAAGAGTTTATTGCCACACAGTGATAATGTAGCCACTGCTCGGGCACTGGACATCTCTACTGCACAGCCTGGTAGAGGGACAAGTTGCAAAAGCTACAAGATTTCCATCCCTACTTCGCCAGTCAGGGCCCAGGGGCCCATCATCCTTTCTCTACTTGCCGACAATGTCGGCAACTCCTACAAGAGTCTGCTTACCCCCAACCTTGGACACTGAGACTCCCCCCTCACCATTTTACTACCTCTACCATTTAGCTCTCTGCCCCTCTTAGTACTCACCTCCAGGAGGCTGTCCCCAACCAGAGCTACTAGTAGCTGGTGTCCGTTCTGTTCACGTACCAAGGCAGCATTTTCAGAGGCGTACATACAAGTGAAGTCAAACATGGCCACGTCAGGCTGCCCATAGTGATTGATGGCAAAATCCAGAGAAGGCAGCTGCTGCTGGGTGGAGAAGTCTGCAGCTTCCCGGGCGTAGTTGAGCAGGGCCTCCTGGTCCACGTTCTCCCGGGAGAGCAACAGCTCTGTGTCGGCGTAGTCCTGTCCAGGAAGAGCAAAGGCCAAGATGGAGGAGCCCAAGCAGGGATGCCCAGTTTGACCAGCCAAAATGCGTATCAACGTGACCTTACCTCACAGCCTTTTTCCCTCAGGTGTTTTCATATTCCTAAACTAAATCTTTTACACGAGTTAAAAATAAAGGGGGGAGGTGTTGCTAAGAGTAAATCAGTTTTGCTACCTAAACAGCCCTGGTTGTTCTGTTCAAATCACTACTCCTGCAATCCTGACCAATCAAACAATAGCTATATAATGGCAGTTTGTAAGCACAACAGGCATTTTACAGTTTATGGTATATTCTGCAATCACTTTATTCTGGGTATGGCGGCTTTTGGCAGCTGGGACGGTGGGAAACACACTTATCACAACTAAAGGAATCCCCGAAAACTATAGTGCAGAGAGATGTGCACTGGGGAGCAGTAAGAGCTCTACAAGGATGGAAAGGAATATGTTGGAAATGGATCAGAGGTTTTCAAAATCATACACAGGATTCTGCAAGGCTCCACAGAAACCCACCTACAGAGCAAAGCTGCAAGAGCGGAAAAGGAGCTTTCCTTATAAGGAGATGAGAAACTCCTCCTCTGCTGTGGAGGTTCCTGCACAGAGCCAAGTCTGCTCTCCTAAAGTAGGGCCTTGGTTTCCAAGTGCCCCTGACGAACTGGTACTCAGCCACAACTACAAGCTGTCAAAAGCCAAAACACAAACACTCGAGTGGCTCCTGGAAATACTGTTTGTTCAACATTAAGTGGCTACAAATGGCGTTAGTATTTAGCAGCACACCCAGAAGGCATGACCCCTTCTGCTAAAAGAAATAAAGGGGAAAAGTAAATTAGATTTTGGCATTCCGGATTGCTCTTACCCAATTTTCACTGATAACCCAGCTCTGCCCAGATGGTAGGTTTGAGTCTTAACTTAGTCCCAAGGCATTCCAATGGCTGTATTGACAGCAATATAAGAGCCCTAGATAATGAACAAACCCACTTTATAAAGCATCTAGCCAAACACGCCTTTCTTTTGTTTGGGCAGAATACTCTGTACAAAGTGCTTAGTCTTGCTGCTCCCTGCACACTGCAGGACCGCCACACTGAAAAGCAGACATGAGGTTCGCATGGAAAGGAGACTTTGTGTTGCAAGCACGTGCTTGTCAGCTTCCTCCCCAGTTGGCTCTCAGATAAAGCAATAGTGTGACTCATTCTAAAGGGGCTTGATGTGTTATCATCCTGCAGAGACAAAGGGCTCCCTGAGATTCAGCTTTGAGTCTGGGGGGAACTGTTCAGAACCGAATCAGCACATGTGAAGCCTCTTCTATCCATTTATCACATGGGGACAGCAATTCTCACATCCAGACCTGTGAGACTAAGTGAGCCTGTAGCCACTCTCCTTAAGGAACCATCCAATCTATGATTCTTAGATTTCAGATCATCAGTTCGGGGTCTATCATACAATTAGTCACCCAGAAAAAAAGGCTGGGCTGGAATGGGCTAAGGATAGACACTAGGTCTTTCTTGTCAGTTAGAAAGAGGTCTATATGTACCCTGGTCAGTGTTCTCTGAATCTTTAGTAACCACATGGACAATAAAATCTGAGTCAAGGTCAGACTGTTGTAAACACCATGAGTTGCTTCTCAGACCAGCACTCTTCCCTCCGTCATCCCTCTCCCAAAAGGATCTATGGAGGGACCTGTAATACTCAGAGGCTGAGGCAGGACAATTACATGTTCAAGACCTGCCTGGGCTATAAGAGCTATTTCAAGGCCAGCCTGAGCAACTTAGTAAGACCCTGTCTCAAAATTATTACTACTACTACTACTAATAATGGGTCTAGGAATGTGGCTTGGTGGCAGAATTCTTGCCTCACACGCACAAGGTTCTGGGTTGAATCCCCATTACTGTGGTCAGGGAATGGTAAGGAATGGGTCTACTGATCCTTCAATGGCTGCTCACATATGGAATTCAGTCTAATTAATAGCTGAGTTACCTAAAGTTAAAACTGGGTAATTATGTGTGACACCGTACCTGACAGTTGTTGTGAAACAGTCCAATAGCAGGAGAGGGGAGAGAGGAAGGGGTTGGCCATGTTGGTAACTGTGAAAGCTAATGACGGCCACACAGGCCCATTCTGTTCTTCTACTTCTGTTTATAGTTTCGATTTTCCATAATAAAAAGATTTTTTTAAATGATAAACTAAAAAAGATCATGGGTTTCCAGATGTGTTTAGTGTCCACTTTTATTTCCTTATAGGAAAAAACCCACCAGACAACAAAATTCTTCTTCTTAGTGATCATATTAAGCAGTTCAACAAAAAAAGAAAACCATTGCTCACATGGAGTATCACTCCTTTGTCCAGTAAACTCTGCTTTTTGGCCGTCATCACAAAGTAGTGTGTGTCATCTTTGTAGTAGACGATGTTCTCCAAATCAATGCCTGGGACCAGAAAACAAGCACGTGTGAGAATCCACTGAGGACGTCAGGGCAGCCAGAAGGCTGAACTTGGGTCTCAGAGACAGGTGTGCAGAGTCCCCTGCAGACAAGGTGCCTAGACCCAGATTCTTACTGCCTGCACCATAAACTCAGAAGTCGGGGAGATCTGCTTTCTTTTGCACTTCCATGCACCTCACTCAGTACCCTAGGTTTATCCTGAAAATGATGACTGAAAGGAAATACAAACATGAGAATGGACAAGGCAAAAAACAAAGGCAATGCTAAGTCTACGAGAGGGGATGGGTTGTTCACCAGGTTAGACCTCTTTGATAGCTAAGGAAGCTGGGGGCATCTCTTAAACTCTAGGAAAAGGATAGCTGCCTGAATGCAGAAAGTGAACTACTGACTTTTTAATCCAATTAATCTGAAAATAAATGTACTGGAAAGAAATCAAGTGCTAGAAAACCGAAGATACATTTTTTTTTTTAATTGCAGCAAAATAGCTAAGTCAATCTGTCAGAAAACTATCACAATTTGATTCCTGTCCAGCACACAGGAGCTCAGATGAGCTTAGAGAAGGGCCATACCTTTGACAGCACAGGTCAGGGTGCCAATGAAACCAGAGCTGCCAGTGGGCAGACTGCTCATCTAGCAATGAACTTGGCTCACGAGTAGGGGCAAGGGGCTGGGGATGTGTTGGCTGAAGGCAAAGCCGACCCCAGAGCAGCCTGGTCCCTGCTGAGGCCTGAGACATGACAGCGTGGAAACATGCTGAGCCCCAGGGATGGGAGTGACAAAAGAACAGAGGACAAAGGTCACAGCAGTGGCATCCACGGCCGCCCACACTAACAGCCCCTAGGCTCTGGAGGCACTGGTACCAACCTGTGGCTTCTCTCAGTTCCTGGAAAAACTTTTGGTTGAATATAAAAGCCACACCGCTGATCTCTTCCACTTTGGCCTCTGCAGTTGTGTTGCGGTTGATAAAATTTGCAGTGATCGCAATGGCTAGCTTGCCACGAAATTCTTTCCGACGAAATCCTGAAGGGAAAGAGGAAAGGGAGGAAGGCTTCAAATGAGGGAATATTTGGGCGGGGGGAGTGGGATGTGAGAATCAGGAAAAGTTTGAGGATGGCTCTTTTTCTTCTGCAAGTAAGCTGCACTAAGAGACATACAACGCAAAGCCTTCTTCCTTGTTGTGAACAATGTGAAATCTGACTGATTTATCACTGGGGGTTTCACTTAAAATGGGGTGGTGCATGGTGCTTGACACATTAATGCATAAAAAAAATGCTGTACTGACACCCCTAATCATAGCTTATCTCCTAGTGCCCTAAGAATGTGCCCTGTGGGAAATATCCCCAGTGGGCATCATCTGGAGGAAAGCTGGGGTGCCGCTCAGTTGACAGGTAGCATATATGAAAATTCTTAGAGGTGTGGACTCTGGGGACAGGTCAATCTCTACTCTGTGATGAGCCAGGCAAAACACAAGCCAAAGTCAGTACCTTCCAAAGTGTTCCTACGACCATCCCCACCGATGATTACTTCAAATTCATACTCTGATACAGGATGAGTTTTGGGGTGCACCAGGGCCCGCCAACCTATCCCTGTGGATCAAAGGCAAAATGAAGGGCATCACTCAGACCAAGTTCACATCCGGATACATAGTCCCAATACAAAGCACTACATGTAAAAACAAAACAAAACAAAAAACTACAAGGGACCAGCCCCAAGCAGAAAGCACCTCCGACAAGGGCTCACAGAGGGGCTTTCTCCACTTTTGGACTGTTTAATACAAATGTCTGTCACATTAAACACTATGTCAGAGGCCTCCTAATTAAGTCAAAAGTCCTCAAAAGCCCAGGCTGCATAAACAAAGCCCTTTAGATAGTGCTGAAAACCACCTGCAGGGCTGTCTGGTTCCTCCCATGATCTCATCTGCTCTCACCCACTCACAGCACCCTTATGCCTCCTTCCTTGGTCAACTCACGTTCGTTCTCTTGGTCCTCAGGAGGTTGCACGAGTCCTTGGAATTCCACATTGACGTGGATTTCGATGCCCAAGATCAAGGCTACTTTCAAGAGGATTAGTTGGAGCTGACGGATACCTGGGAGAACACAAAGACCTTGATGGCGCACGAGGCGAGGAGAGCCCTAAATACCTGTCCTGGTTCCCAGCCATCCATGTCTACTCAAGTCTTCAAAGGTTGTGATAGCAGGAGACATGTCCCACATCATGCTGTCGTTCCTCTCTCCCCTTTCTAAGGGGAACTTCAAAGCAGTGAAGAAACAATCTGGAGAGATACAAGGCCACTTTACTTCTGGGGCTGAGTATTCTAAACAACCCAAAGCTCAGAGACAGCATGGAACTGTGGCCAAGGAGAATTACCCTTCCATCTCCCAGGTCCAGCAGAGCCGCCACTCCTGGCAGCATCGCAGTCCTCAGAGGCACCTACTTGGTGTAAGACACAGGAGAGGCACACCGACAGGTGAGATGCCATAGCATGTGCCTCCCACTCTAACCCTTTGCTGACCTCACACATTCCTACTAGATGCACAAAGGAAATCACAGGCCTCTGTATCTCTCTTATCATTCCTACCACCACTGCCTATACATGTGGAAACTGAGGCTCAAAATCATGTTGCTCATTATCACAGTGAAAGTTGTAAATATATTTGATATCCAGTGCGTCTGTATCCAGACCTGGTACCAACACCAGGTATAGAGAGACAGAAATCTGGTTCCTGATCTAAGACACCCTCAGTCCTAAAATAAAACTAGCTATAGATAAAGACCACAAATTCAATCAGTCAGTGGTCCTTGAGTCCCTCTTAAGGCCAAATTATTTGCAGTCTGTGACTAATGTGCTAGAAGCATGTGCAAATCCCCTACTAAGTCATCCTGGTTACTTTCCTCCATATCCTCACCCTTCTGAGTCACACTTCCAAAGGTTTGCTGAGGCCCATGTTAGCATATTAGCATACACTTTATTTTTGCAGACAACTGTGGGTTCCAAGATGCTTTACAAATTACAGCCTGGCAGATGGGCAGAGTAGTTCCTCTTGCCAATGGAACGTGGCAGCTGCCAGCTGGTGTTGGATAAATTGGTACCACCACTTCAAAGGGTCTAATGGTAGAATTATTTCCAGGTCACATATGGAGGAGCTGAGAACAAATGCTCCTCGATAAAGTTTTTCTAGAAGCACGAAAGGCAATCAGTAAAAAATATTTCCAACTTGATAATGCAGATGCTGTTCCAAATTGGTTTCAGATAGGCCATTTACAGCCATGAAAACAAGATAAGCTAAGAAAAACATAAAGGGGGCAGAAGAGATGGCTTAGCAGTTAAGAGCACTGGCTGTTCTTGCAGAGGAGCCAGGTTCAGTTCCCAGGACTCATGCAGTGGCTAACAACCAACTGTTAACTCCAGTTCCAGGAATCCAACGCCCTCTTCTGGCCTCTGTGGGGATTGCTGGCACACGGTACATTTATATACACTTAGGCAAAAAACACTCATATATAAAAAATGATAATGAAGGAAATATAACAAAAAAAAGTTTTTAAAGACAAGCACAAAGGAAGTTGGTGATGAGAAGAGAACAGCAAGAGTTGTTCTGGCTGTAGACTTCACTGGTCACCTAACCGCAGAATCTTACTGCAGAAGGGCAGTCACATCCCAGCTATGACTCTGCTTCTGTTGTTGTGGGTGCCCAGGTCTCTGTCTCCATAGCACTCTCTTCTTGCATTAGTAGAGGGTATGAAGACCATACTGCAGAGCCACAGCCCGTGTACTCCTTTCATAGAACTAAGTACTACCAGAGGGCTGAAAATCGAACTCCTTGATTTCCAATGCTCCCCCACAACATACCATGAGAACTCAGCAAGAGTTCAGGACCCAGCTAGGAATCCTTTTAAAATTATTTACTTATTGTTATTTTATGTGTATGAGCGTTCTGTCTCCATGTATGTAAGTGCACTATGTGCATGCAATGCCTGCAGAAGCCAGAAGAGGGCACTGGATCCCCTAGAACAGAAGTTAAAAATAGTTGTTAGCTGCCATGTGTATGCTGGGAGCTGAACCCAGGTCCTCTGCAAGAGCAGCAAGTACTTTTAACCACTGAGCCATCTCTTCAGTCCCCCAAGTTAAGAATCTTCAATCATACTACCTCTCTACCCCCTTCCTACCTCCAAATCCCCAGGGTGAGTCACTGAACATTGGTGGTAGGTGCTTTGACTTCAAATTCTACAATAGATACCAATGAGATTGTAACAAACTGAGCTACTGAGCAGGAATTCCTCAGTTAACCCATCTGTCTCTGTTTACTGAACAAATGTGCAGGGAGAGCTGGTGTTACTCACTGATATGGTCGATGGCTCCAGCACAGAACTTTCCATAGAACTTCTTGGCACCAAGGCCTCGCAGATCATGTATGGTGAAGGGCCAGAGATGCAAGACATTGTTGCGGGAGAAGGCGTCTCGCTTCTCAATAACAACCACCTTGGCTCCCAATAAGGACAAGTCGATGGCTGTGCGGAGACCACAGGGGCCAGCTCCAATGATGAGACACTGAAAAACACAGCTGCTGCTTTCAGGGCAAAGGTCGCACCTATCAAAACACACGTCTCATAAATATCGTTCCCGAGAGCTTCTGCTCCAGGGTCATACTCCAGGCCCAGGACACCTGCCTAGGTGACAGTAGAGCAATTACAATGGCTTGAAGGAAGAGCTCATGATTGCTGTGGACAAAGACTGAAGTATAGGAGATGTAACCTTATCATGTATCTACCTTGAACAGCCTAGGAAACCCATAGACCTACAAGACTTAAGTGGGTCTACATTGCAACAAATGATATGAAAATCACATCTCATTTTTCAACAACAAGGACCCTTTAGAAGGTTTTGGCTCGCTGTCCAAAGATAGAGATAATGAACTATATCCAAGCAATCAAATTCTGGGGTCAACCATTCAAATAACTCAGATGCCAAAAAGTTTTTTTCTTTGTTTTTTTTTTTTCTAACAATATATTTTATTTTTATCTATGTGTATATGTGTGTGTATGTGGGGGGGGGGGGGCCTGAGAGTGCAGTTCCTTATTTTATTTTTTTGTGGTTGTATTGGGTTGTGGAGGTGGGGGGGGGGGTGCCTGAAGAGGCTAAAGAGGGTGTCAGATCTCCTGGAGGTAGAGTTACAGGTGATTATGAATCACTCAGTGTGGGTGCTGGGAACTGATGGTTTTCTGCAAGAGCAGCAAGTGCTCTTAATCTCTGAGCCATCTCTGTAGCTCCTGAAAAGAGTTTTAAAATAATTTCTGGACTGAAAATTCAGGGAAATGCTCTTGAAAACCCACACTCAGGAGACATACCTGAGGAGAGACACTGACCATAGATAGCTTGCACTGTATGTACAAAAGGAAGACACACAGTGCTTTTGATTTGGCATTTCTTTTGTTTTATGTTTGTTGTTGTTTTCGACAGGGTCCCCCTGTAGCTCAGGCTGGCCTGAACTCACTTCACAGACCAGGGTGGTCTTGATCTCATAAAGGTCACCTGCATCTGCCTCCTGAGTAATGGGATTAAAGGTAAGTGTATGTCTTCACACCCAAATGTTTTATTTGTCTATTTATTTTGGTGGGGGTTGGGGTGTGAGGCTGGAACTCAAGGCCTCAGACATGTTAAGCAAGTACTCTATACCCTACACCTGAGCTACCCCCTTACCCTTTTTATTTTTAATTAAAGTCTAGAAGTCACTCATGAAAATCATGCCTTCAAATTTCTCCATGGGGTAAATCTCTAGGTATACTATAGGACAAGTTTAAGGTCATGAAAAGCCAAAATAACATAGCCTTGAAGTCACTGGAAACTTGTTTCCCTACTAACTTTTCCCAAACTTCTCACAGAGGTGTTCTTAAAAGGGCAAGGCAGGAAACACCCCTCTCCCTCTCACTTTCTCACACCTATCCCCACTCAGGTGAGTGCACATCTCAAGTCTCTGTTATGGTCTACCTATTTCATGGAAACTCTATTATTCTACATTGTAAAGAAAATAGAGGCCAGGTGTGATGGCACACACCTTTAATTCCAGCACTCTGGAGGCAGAGCAGGCAAATCTTTTTAAGATTAAGGCCAGCCTGGTCTACATAGCGGGGTCCAGGTCAGCTAGGGCTACAGGGACACCTTGTCTCAAAGAAAAAAAAAAAAAGGAAAACAATAGAAATACTTTGCTTTACAAGGTCCTTGTGTTACAAGGTCCTTGTTTGTGAATTAAAACAGACTTTTGGACTATGGATGGGAAGAAGCCTGACATTTGTGGCAAATCCTTACTAGATGCTGAGTGTGAAATGATGACTTTGGGAAGACGACATACTAAGAACCACAAAGCCATGGTCAGATAGGATGCTCACAGAGCCTACCTAAGTGACTCGAGTTCTCCTAACAGTGTGAGGCTCAGAGGAAAGCGTCAGCAAAATAAAAAGTTTCTATCTACCTGACCTCAGGGTGGTTCATTAATAGTGGAAACTCTGAATGGGTAATAAATACATACATGAAATAGCTCAGAACAAGGGTCTGGCACGTGATACTGTCAGATGAATACAGGTAACAAAGATTCAACAAAGTCTAAGCTTAACTCCTTCCTCTGGGCTGAGGCCTGGTTCTAATCAGTCCTCCCACTGGCACTAGGTGAAGTCCCCATGTCAGTGACCCCAGGGCCCGAAAACAGTTGAGCTTACCTTGGTGTTAATGCATGCTTTTCCCTTCTTGTAGTCTTTGTGACTGCCTCGTTTGTCCAATTTGGCCCAGAGGGCTTTGGCCTTCCAGTAGTTGAGCTTAGACTTGAGCTTGTGGTAGAAGGAGCGGTAGTCCTTAGGCTTCAATTCCAGGTGGTCACAGAGCTCTTGGAAGGCCCTGAGGGTTCCCTTGCAAGTAGTGGCCTGGACAAATCTGTCGAAGAGGATATGAGCTTGGTTTGTTGTCTCTTGCTTCCTCTCCTCCATGCTCCCCGACTCTTGGCACACCCCCACAGAGGGGGCAGTGGGATGGCTGCTGATCCAGCTGACACTGTCACCTTAACCTAACAGAAAAGAAGAAAGACAAAGAAATGGTCAGTATTTCCGGGTCTATGAGCATTTCCCAGGAGACACACTTTCTCAAAGAGCAGTGACACTTGTGTCATTGGCAAATGTGCACTGAAATACTCCAGGTACCATCCAGGGCATTAAGGAGCTTACAGCCTAGTGGACAAGATGGATTCAGAGACAACACTATAATGGGCTATTCTAAATGCCACTAGAGAGAGGCATAAGAAAAACCAAACCCAGAGAGGTGGGTCCCCACTGAGAATGAGCATCCTCGGGGAGACTGCCAAGGCTTTCAAGGAAAAGCTTTTCAGGGAAAAGGAGTAGGTCTGGACAGGGAAGTCAACTCAAATGCCCCATAAGGATCTCACACAGAGCAGTCAAGAATGGTTCTGTTTTCCAATGGAGGCCACTGGGAGACAACAGCATGGAAAAGATTAAAATCATAAGACTCATTTGTGAGGGTGGCTGGTGAGTGCATGTGTCCACCTGCCACTGTCTCTGAACTCACTAAATGGAGGCACTTAGCATGAATAACCACAAAGTTTAGCGAGTGGCTGGTGAGGGAGACCAGGTTTGGGAGCCATCAGCATACAGGAGTGGAAGCTATGCAAACAGATAAGGGTACATGAGGCCAGCCCATGAGCAGGAAGGGCTGGGAGCTCTGCATGAGACCTGAGAAGCCAACCTGTCAGAGGCCAGTGGGAAGCTAAGTCCTCTCTACAGACTACCACAAGAAACAGTGCACGGGGCTGCAGAGATGGCTCAGTGGTTAAGAGCACTGGCTACTCTTGCAGAGGACCCAGGTTCAATTCCCAGCAACCACATGGTGGCTAACAATTCTCCATAACTCCATGGAGTTCCAGGGACTCTGACACCCTCTCCTGGCCTCTGTGGGCATTTTGTGACATGGGGTGCACCTACCTACATGTAGGTAATATACACATAAAAATCACATAAAATCAAGATAATAAAGTTTTTTTTTTTTTTTTAAAGAAACAGTACAGAGAGGACTGAAGAAAGCCAAAGAGCTGTGTCAGAAAAAGCTAAGCAGTACAAAGTCCAGACGTACCAAAGTCACTTGGGATCTGGAAGACTCACAAAGCCCTCTACTGCATGTGGTATGTGCAGGGCAAGTTCATGGCCATCACATTTCCCCACATTCATATTTGACAGTGACAGTGAAGTTGTCCATACCGTGTACTTAACAGAAACAGCCAGTACCAGCCTCCCCATATGTGCAGATGCTTGACTGTGGAAGACAGCACCTTATGTATTCCTGCCCGCACCCTCCCTTGATCTGCTTTTTGTGCCCCAATTTATTAGACCTGCTATTCAGAGACAGCAGGGCAGTGCAGGGAGTGCCACCTGGCTTGGAGCCTGCACTGGCTGCATAACCCTGAAGAAGTTACTCTTCCTCAGAAGGCCTTGATGGTCTGTAAACTCTTCCCACTGTCAAGTTCTCTGAGTCTAATGCCGAGAAAATTCTGGTCCCAGCAGTTGTCCCTGAAGCTGTAGTCAGAACGGCCCACCACAGGCCATCACTGATTTGCCTCTGGTGAGACAAATGCAACTGGGCTGCAGCTCTGCTGTAAAAAGGCTTTATTCTGGGCTGACAAAATGGGAGGAGCTGGAATGTGTTGTACTTAGGGTGAGGGGCAAGGAGTAGCCCACTATTCAGTGAGTGGACCTAAGGCTGGTGGGGGCAACGGGTTGTCAGTGCTGATGGAATCAATTTTCTTTCAGAAACTCCCAACATCCCATAGCATGGATGACTCCAGGGGTAGGTGTGAAGCTATTTCTTTGGGCAAATCACTGAGCAACAGTTCTCCCTTAGTGAAGAGGTAACATTCTGTTTTTCTACATACCTCACTATGATACTATATGATTAACTCAAAGCATCTGAGGAGGTCTTGGGTTTTGTGAGAGGAAGTAGGAAGTTCAGGGACTGGCATTTTCCCTCCTGTTTCCCATGATGACAGGCATGAGATTTCAAGGAACTGAGAGTATAAGATGATGATTCTTACCATACACACTGGCTTGGCGTGTAATCTCAAAACTGTGGCTTATTCCACAGCCACACTGCTGATAAACACAGCTTGTCAACATCCAGGTAGTCAAGAGTCCAGGAAAAAAAAGGGACTTATCTAGGATTATAGCTTAGTGGTAGAGTACCTCCCTAACATGTGTGAAGCTCTGGACTCCATCTCCAGCATTACAAATAAATAAACAAATAAATGAAAGAAAGAAAGAAGCAAATGAAAAAATCCAGGAATTAATCAGCACTAACCCTGTCTCTCCTAAATAAAGGTTTATATTAGGCAGTATCAGCAAGCAAAATATTTTGAAGGTCATAAAAAGAGTCCATTCTTTTTCTTACAAGCCCAGACTTATCTTAGAAATAGTAGCCAGTCAAAAGACTGCTTGAAAGGGTTGAAAAATCCAGACTGTTTACAAAGAGGCAGAAGAAAGGGTGGCTGGAAACAAGGATCCTAGAGGGCCCCGCCCCTTCCCTCTAGGTGCGGGTATCTGTGTAAGTAATCCCTACCTGAATACTCACCTGGGTTCGCAGTCAACCTTAACTCTGCCAGAGTCAAATGCAGCATTTGGCAAACTTTGAACACACCTGGCCTGATTACCTTGTACCAAAGAAGAAATGGTTTTCCTTTGTTCTTGATCAGCAGCCATTGTCTGCTTCCTGTCAGATTCAAAGCACTCAGAACCTTGAGGTTCTTGCTGAATCCAACATATTCAAGATTCCACACCACATATTTCGAAAAGCCTTTCCCAGTCATAGCACTGCCTGGTGCTCACACTCTCCTTGAAGACCATCTTCAGCTCTGCTTTTTAAAGAGCCCTTCCCATTCTGAAGTAGAAACTCACTTCCCAAGAGCTGCTGACCACCACAGACCATTCCCAAATCTAATCTCACCATGGCCAAGCACTTTCATTAATAACCACCCTAGCCCCCTTCTGGGTGCAAATACTATTCAAATAAGCAGTCTCAGCCCAGTTCCTGGAGCGCCTCGGAGTGTCTGCTCTAGAGTGGCAGACAAGTATCAGGTGCCCTGGCTAAAGGACCATGACCTACGGGGCACTAATGACACCAGATAAAGAGAGGCAGGTTGGGTTCCTTTTCCTCTAACAATGTGACAGACACCCAGGGTAAGACAACACAAGACAGAGTCCCCTGGGCTGCTTCACTTTTCCTCCTTTGAGCTAGGTGAGCACAGCAGGAAGGCAGTCCGGAGTGCCCTGGCATTGTTCTGTGGCTGCCACACTGGCCAGAGCACTGGCCCAGCACTATGACTCACTGAGATCTGCCAGGGAGAATGAGAGAAGGCCTGTCCTGTCATGCTCCTGAAGGTCAAAGCTGCATCCTGATCTTCCAGATCTCCCCTCACCCACTGTGCCACTCATCCTGACATTCTGGGAAAAACCAACATTCATAATCACAGGAACTTAGAGACCAGGAAACCCGGCTGGAAAGTGCCAGAAATCCTGGGGATGGAAAAGCCAGGGTGTGGAAGAAAGAAGGCAAGGAAGTGAGGAGCCTGAGGAGGAAGAAACAGTGGGGCCAGGTTTCCCCAGCATCTGTTCTGCCAGCCGACTTTGAGCATCCTGCATGTTTTGTCTCGTGGCAGCTGACAGCTGACTCAGCCACATTCCTGGGCTGTGGAGGAGAGTGCTGGGGAGCCAGCAGCAGGGAAGAGCATGTGGGAGCAGGGCTGTGCTCTTATTCACAAGAGTAAAGGTTGCCTTGACTCACAGTTCTTAGGGAATACTTTATACCTGTTCTTAGAACAGGTGGGTGGGTGGCTGTTTGAGGGAAGGGTTAACAAAGAGAATTATCTTTAAAAATAGAAAAAGGTAAGAGAAACAGTAATATAAGAATAAAAATAAGAACCACACTTTGAGAATACAGGTACAGAGTGCAGTTTAATTTTCTCGTGCATCTATACCATTAACATGCCAGTGTGTATGCAAATCTCAACCTGAACAGCCATCTAGGAAACGCTCCCTTCCAGGCCCATTCACTGGGAGCTGACAGGCCCCAACAGATCCTGGAAGTAGGTATACAGGAATGTTGGCCTTGGGATGCTGTTAGAGGGAAACTCGGATTGAGAGGCTTTGTTTTGCCCCTGAAATAAGCATTGAAATCACCAAAATGTCTTGAGTTCTCACTTGCTCCTTCTGTAGGATGGGGGACTGGCTGTGAGGGGTGTAGATAGAGATATTGAGGCTATAGTCTCGGGGGTGACAAAGACCCCTGGGCTGGGATTTCTCATTGCCCGCAACTGCTTCTCAACTGTAAGGCTCACAGCTCTTAGATGAGGCTCTGGCTCTTAGGAAGCAAGCTCAAATACAACAGGCACATGGTATTCCCTGGGCTTTCTAATTTTCCCTCAAGTTGAAAAAAAGTAATTGTGGCAAAATACACATACTATAAAATCCTGGTCTTAACCGCCTTGCCAGACTGTTTGTTTCCATGTTGCCCAGGCTGGCCTCAAAGTCCTGGGTTCAAGCAATCCTCCTGCCTCAGCCTCCAGAGTGGCTGAGACTATAGGCACAAACTACCATGTCTGTCTCATTTTAACCACTTTTAAACATACAGTGTGCAACTATCAACACCATCCATGTCTATAGCTCACTAAAACTCTATGCCCATTAACCAGTAACTTCCCTTTTCCCTCTCCCCTCTAACCCCTGGCAATCACTCAGCTACATTCTGTCTCTTTAATTTTAACTATTCTGAAAGTCTCCTGTCTTTGGTGGTGGTTGTTCTAAGACAGGATCTTCTTGTCCCAGGCTGGCTTTGAGCTCCTGATCCTCCTGCTTCCAGCTCCCAAGTGCTGAGATTCCTGGCATAGCAGCATGCCTTTCTGTGACTGGCTTACTTAACTTGGTTTATCTGTGTGGTAGCATATTCCAGAATTTCCTTTTCAAGACTGAATATTTCATTTACGTAACTACAACACTTTCCTTATCTATTTGC